TTAAGATTGCCACTGTAGTAAAAGGCAGCAATTAAGGAGAGAAATATTAAGTAGATATTTCAACAGGAGAGCTGGTTAACACTCCAGATTTCAAAGTGTAAACACAAAACAGTTATTTTGCTACTGTTAAAACAAGCAATAAAATAAGACAAAAATAAAACAGACTCAAGGGACACTCCAGACACAGACCAAATCCATTAACTGAGTAGAATCTTTGAAACTTCACCAAGTAGAAGATTTAATTCAAGTTAAATTCCAAATTAAACAACGCTACACAGAATTACACCTAGACAAATTAAGAAATTTCAATAAAGGAACAGCTCCGCAGGGCTCGGTTTATCTGTAAGTCAATTCCCAGAAATTTTAGACTAACCCATAAAAATAGAATTAGCCAAAACACTTGGATTGGTACTATATTCACAACTAATAATACTAGTACACTTCCCCATCCTAACTAAAGAACCAGGGAACAGCTTGGTGGTGGTCTCGTTTGAACCTCCCAACTGACCTTCCTTCATTCTCTCCTTCAGTGCGCACGCGGATATGCGGGTGGAAATATGCAGCATGTCCGGAAGTGCTGTTCAAGGTTAGCAGAGTGAGATTGCGGCCTCAGCAACTCAGGTGGAGCGCTGTGCCCTGAGCTTGACGTTTGGGGGAGATCCCGTATTTACAGACTGACACTTACAGCAGACTTCAAACAAGACTTGCGGGCAGAGCAGACCTGTAGGAGGAGCGCGGACTCTGCGAGCACGGACTCAGAGGGGGGGAAGCCCCCTCTGCAGAAGGAGGGACTCAGACCAGACAGGGGGGTACTCTAGTTGATTTCAGACTGAGGTCCCTGAAAGTATTTACAAGGTATAAGTAGATAAGAGAAATCAAAAGAGGGACCGGTCGGTCCGGTGTGGAAATAAGTGGAAATGAGCAGGGACTTGTCAAACTAAACCAAGGACAAGAACCTGGGAAATGGGAGGCAAGGAATGAATAAAGTCAAAGCAGATCAAGTACCAATATTGACAGATTAAATGAATGAATAGGAAAGTGCAATAGCACACAGATCAAATGCCAATATTGGGGTGAACATAATAGGCACTCGGCAAGGAATGAATGTTATGTTGCCGAGTGACAAAAATGACCAGAGGACAAAAGCGGAGGTCAGCACACGGCGCTGATACAAGTCCGCAAATAAGTGGGGTCGGTGCGGTGCCGACACAAGTCCGTGAACAGAGGTTGATCTGTCAGCACTGTCACACAAGGACAGCATGAAGGCCAACAGAGGTACAGAGGGGAGTGGGAGTGTTGACCTGACCAGAGGTGTCAAGGGCAACCAGAAGTGGCCAGAGGGTGCAGAGATGGGCAGAGGGTGTGGAATGCACGGAAGCGGGGCATGGCTGTGACCACAAAGCGGGAAGCAATGAGTGTGGTTCAGATGGAGACAAGGCAGGCATAGGAACTGGAGGGACTGAATGCCGGGAGTGCCAAGGGCTCAGGAACTGGAGGTAAGGTCAGAATACCGGCAGGGTCTAGGTTCTGATTATTGGCCAAGTCTCATGCAATAAGGCAGGGGGCCAGACATGGGGTTGGGGGCTGGTTAGGATGGGTTTCGGGTCAGCAGATTCACCTATTGGCATTGGTTCGCCACTGACAGAGCCCCGGGATTTGTCGGTCGTGACAGCACATGTGATTGCTGAGAGATACAGGGAGCATAGAGTATTGGGGGTTCACCCCAGGGATGGGGCCATTCCTGGGGGTGTGCTACCATATCCACATCGAGCGCGCTGGTCACCATTGGGGTGTTCTGTAGTACGTGGTGAGTTGGGCTAGGCGGTGGGGAAGGGGTAGTAGGTGCACCTGCAGCGTGGGAGAGAACCACTACATAGTGTAGTTATTGGTATTTATTTAGGAGTCGCTCTCGGGTAACACACTTTTCTGGTGCGCTTCCATTTTTACGAGAGCAGGACGAGGGGCACTTGGTAGTGCTTCATGGCTCTTTTAGGCCTAATCCTTTTCGGGATTACCCGGGGTGCTGGGAATCTTCATCCGTTTGACGGGAGATTCATCCATAGGCACCCGACTCCTAGCCCCTTCTCGGACCAGTGCCCTTTGGCTTGATAGCCTTGTAGGGGGCTACTGGGTCGCTTTCAGGGGACTTTTTGGCCTCAGTTTTTGAGGCCGGTTTTCTTCCGTAATAGGAAGGTAGTGGTTCCTTCCTAAGCCTTAGTCTTGATTGACGTATGAGCTGAATTTATGCTAATAGCGTGATGGTGAAGACAATTGTATATCAGCCTCAAACGCGTATGTGTCAGATGCATCTTTCTCCATCCCTCTTGAGAGACTCCAACTCTTAGTTACAAAGCGATATCTTTCCATTCTTTGTGCTGGGTCTGCTGCTTTTTGCGATGTCCTCATCACATATGCTCAACATCCCCCTTATTTTAATAGCTTTCAATGACAGCCTCTACAGGACGGATAGAGGAACAAAGCGTCTGATTGCATTCACCTGGCACTTTGACCAGCGTGGTGGCCTGCACTGTCGTCGTTGTGGTGAGTTTCAAATCAAGGCATTCTTTGTGGGCGGCGGGGATAACCCTTGATGCATCAGTTTTTGACCGGGCTTGATTATGAACCGCTTGGGATCGGCTACCGTACGCTCTAGAAACTTTCGCATTTGTGAAATTTCCTGGCTAACGCAATTGACTTACGGTTCTATGCTGAATCTGCAGCAACAATTTGCTTGCCTCGTATGTGTTTGGTCGAAATTGTGCAGTTGTATCGCTCATTGGAAACCGTAAGGCTCAATCAACGTGGCAACTGGTTTAAGCATCTTGACCACTTCGATTCCGATTGGGTTGAAACTCCCCCAAATCGAGAAGGTCAGTGGTGTTCCAGGCGTCATCCGGCCTTGCACGTTCATCTGATTTCGAGATAGAAGTGTCTCTCGTCAGCTCAGGTTCCCAGTTCTCATCACTTGGCTTCTAATCCTGGAACAAGAGTGGTATGGCCAGACAGCACTCAGACTCGGACTCAGATTGTGTCCGTACCAAGTCTTTCCTGGAACTTTTCTACCTGACTGGCTTTTCGCACGGAGAGTGTTCTGAGAACTCTGCGGCGTCGTTGAGCAGAAAGGAATAGACAACACAATTTGAGGCCGTGATCCGGGAAACCACTTTACAACCAGCAGGTGCCCAAGTTTCCTTCGGTTTCCAACTCTAAGATTTCCTGCCCTACCAATTCTCCCTGTTCTCGAGCTGCTTTCCAATTTAATCTCCACGGAAGCTGGTGGTGACCAGCCTCTATCAGAATAGAGTCATCCTCAGAGGCAATCGCCGTTCAGGCACCTAGCGCGCCCACTTCCAAGGCGCCCTCGAGATTAGAAGATAAATTTAAGAGTTGCCAACGAGAGGACGGGGCATGTTTGACCGTTTCGATCCGAGTTGATGATTGAAATGTGTCTTGAATCCCTGAACGCAAGTTGAGGTCAGCGATACGGCAAGTCACTCTGGCAGCCTTCGTTTTCCCACACGAGATTCCCCGCCCTACCAATCCCCTCTGTTCCTGAGCTGCTTTCCAGCGTAATCTCCACGGCAGCTGATATCCCGCCGGGCCTCTATTCTGCTGCTTTTTTGTCGCGATAAAGAGACGTTTCTCTCCAAGCTCTGTAGCAACTGTTCTCTGCTCAATTTTTGGCGCTGGTCCGGGTCGAGCAATAAGCAGTTTAATTTGACCAGCCAACTCAGCCATGTCAACCTCCACTCGGAATGTAGAAGCGGTCACTCTCGGCGCCCTTAACCAAGCCGTACCGACATATGTTCCTGCGCACAAACCTCAACAACCACCTCCATGTCGTCCGATCCTGTTTATTGATTATTCTACTATAAATACTGTGAAATACTTTATACTGACACCACATAGTCAGCTTCCCTACACGCTCATCCCACACCAAGTGTCCGCCACAGAGTGGGCTCATAACGATGGGCTTCATCATGACTTGTATATCCAACATATCCTCAAAGTCTACCACCGTTTCAAGCACCTGGCGTCTCCGCTTTCCAGACTCCCTCGAAGAGAACACGTGGTGCTTGGGAATTACGCCGGAAGCTGGATAAGTATGCTTCTCTCCCGATCTATCGGGCGTGCCAGAGCTTTAAAGTCCTGCACTAGAAGCGAAAATGATCTCAGATGGACCCAGATCCAGTTAAGTCGTGGGGACAGCTCCGCGAGAACTGCCAGCACAAAAGTGTCACAAATAAATCAAGTTACAGCAATCATCAGGGATTCCTCAGCAATCTACGAATACAAACTCACGGAGCAGAGCCTCAGTTACCTGGCGGGCGTCGGTGAATTTTCCCAGTGCTGGGGCAGCGTGCAGACTCCTAGTTGTTCGCTCGCACCCAGGTGGAACAGCAACAGCAACTGGCTGTTCCACGTCACCTTCTGCATGTTATGGGAGTAGAATCATAGCGCCAACTCCTCCCAGTCCGATTTTAGCCCTTGTACTGTCATGGGAGGCGTAGCAGACCTTCTCGGTGAGGAAGACGGTAGTTTAAGAGTAGCGAGTTTCCTTAGCGCGAGTGGAGCATATGAGAAGAAAATTCCAACCGAATAGACCCTCGACCCCAAGAGTTAACGTCCGCCCCGAAAGGAGGAATCCCCCCTTTTCGAAAACTGGCAGCACAACCGACCACATGTAAGTGGAGACTCCCCAGAGAAAATGGTTAGGGAACTACTTAGTCATAGGACAGACCCCCAGACCGAATACGAAGTCATAGAGGCTGGAGTCCTGCCTACAGACCGAACGCATCCCTTCTTTTCACATTATTTTCGTGTATTTATTTCGAGACCAACCTGTAGTCTGCAACACACACGCATCCCCGCAGAATACCCATCATGTATAGACATTCCCCCCATGTACGCTACGGTGTCAGGACGGGAAAGCCGCACTGCCACGTCATCACGGGGCTGCGGGGTATTAAGATAGATTTATTATCATCATCATCCCGGTGCGTGTACTTATGTGGGAGTTGGCAACGTTGAGCTGAAAGCAGCAGCGTCGCTGCTTCCTAGTGGCCAAACATACGAACCCTATGCAGACATCTGCCTGGTCATGGCATCCCTATAGGAACGCGAAGATCGCGCCCATCATTGGGCTATCAGCTGAGGCAACCAAATGCTAGCCATCACATGCGCCTCCTATTGGAACTGCGGCAGATCAATCAAGTTACAGCGTGAATGAGTAGCGGGAAAAGACGTTGCTTCGAGTCGAGTGCTTTGGACGGGAAAGTGTGGCAAGAACGAGTAGCAGGTGCCTGGATCGAGCAGGTGGCCCAACTCAACGCTGCCTACGTTGAAGATAGCTCAAGCAGCGGTTTTAAGTTTATACATGCAGAGAAACACTGGACTGTATACGTACAGCTGTGCCATGTCAAAATTATAGGTAAGAAATGAGCTGCAAAAAAAGAAACAATTCTTCGAGTGGACGCGATTGAAAGGGGAACCCTCTTCCCAGATGCATGAGCCTACATATCATTCACGCCTAACAATACAGTTCTGGCCATCTCATCGATGGTGAATCCTCTCTCCGTCACCCCATCTCCATCAATCATAACACCAAGCTTTTCTAACCACTCTTCGCAATTTCGGATAGACAAGAACGGAACCAGACAGCGCAGGGCGTCCAGGGATTTATCGTCCCACCGGGGATGTTCTACAAAGAGACCACCTTTCCTCAATAAGGTGGAATAGCATTGTACTTCACCCGGCTGCATATTGTACACAGTCGCAGAGCACCCATAGGCAAAGATATTGTAGCATTCATGCTCCACGGGCTTTGCACGGGGGCTCTTTCGCAACTGTTCTTTGGTCGTCATCAGCCGTGAAGGAGTAGGAGGTTCTGCCGGCCGGAAGCTAGGGGCTCCTTTTTTCATCTTCTTTTCTTGCTGAATGAGCTCCGTCGGCAATACTCCTAACTCCATTACAAGAGTTATATAAGGTTGATCACCGCCAGAGAAGAATGATAGATTGCGAGCATCGATATTGTAGCCCGCGGTGTTTCCTGCCGTACGACGGTTTTTGATCTGGATGAACATTGCTGTTACATTTTCCCTCCGAAGCAGGTCCGGCTGGGTTTTGTGTGGATTTAGCACGATTGGAATCATCATGTCGATGCTCGGCTGTCCACGCTGGGTAACGAAAGCGGCGCATCGCACGATCCCCGCTATACAGCCGGCGGTAGATACGACATCCTCACTATGCAGCCTAGCAAAGTGCGTAAACCGAATTCGGGCGTTCTTAAATTGCTCGCCGAGATTGACGGTCCCACCAGTAATGGGTAGGCTAGCAAGGACGTCCTGCGCCGCATCTGCTGAGAACAGACACTCGATGAAGTCGATCAAACGGCAGCCTCGACTGAACTTGATAAACTTGTCATCACTTGTATAGGGCGGAAGCCTGGACTTTCCAACGGCACGGTCATATGCCCGCATAATCATAGCACGCGCTATGACCCCACCTCTCCCTCCAACGTCAATTATACCTTGGTTCATCACTTCCTCCAGCGTTTTGAAGATGAAATCGGGTTGGAGCGACTGCAAATTTTCCATTTCTTGCGCCGCAGCTTCCGCAAGCCATGGTTCAGAGGGATATCCAGACCGCATGTAATCACGATGCGTTGGAATAGAGAATACTGTGCGCATATGCGACGCTACCATTTGGGCCAATGCAGTTGCCGCTACTTGGCGTGCTGGTTCATAATCGAGTTGTAGCCGCATGTCAATGACGGCTAGCTTTGCTTCTTGGGTGTATTTCGTGAGGTCTCCAGTGGCACCTTCTAGACCCGCAAGCTTCGCACGTGCCAAATCCATGAGCTTCCTGGCGAATATGTTGTTATGAAGCTTGTCATTTTGCTTGAAAGCATCATACATGGTCCACCATCTAAACCGTCAGTTAGTTTCCACGAAACAGCTTTGCAGAGGGGATTCATACAGCGGGCGTCCACAGCAGGAGAGAACTTCTGCAGATGACAGACTGTCGAAATCCTTGATCACAGGAGCCTTACGGAAGCAGTCGAAAGGCAGCTCCATAATAGGTGCCTGAAGGAGGGAGTCCTCACTTGTCATGCGAGCGGATCTTCTGGGACCCGGAGCTGGAGCAAGGTTCTCAAAATGCGAGCTCGTAGTGAGGAAGATGGTGAGAACAGGAATCTCCCTAGTCCTCAAGTCTTCAAGGCATGACAACATCTTGTCGTAACGGCTTCGGTGCGGTATCCACGGGTCCGTGAGGGAATGAGCCTCATCGAAGTAGAGGAACACCCGAATGCCAGGTTTCTCGTCGACAGCTTCGGAATCGGGTACACTGCCTTGATCTTCCAGGGGAAAAAGGCGGACCAACTCATCGCATGCCACTTTAACAGATTTCAGGAGTTTGGCTCCCACCCCGGACTTCGGGTCCTAGTTAAAGAAGCCAATTGATAATCATTCCACTGGCGAGCAACACCGAAACAAACCGCTCTGATCTCAGCAAGGCTAGAATCCATTTCCACGTGGCTCACAACCTCCTTGTACAACTCCTCCCGACGGGTTATGCCCTCACTTGTGCTGCTGGCCAAATATCTCCGCCATGCACAAGGCAAATTGGTGGTATCCTTGAACTCAGCCTTGATTCGTTTCCCCACGGAATCGAAGAGATGCCTGAAAAACAGGTAATATCGGACCGTCAATTCTCGTTCTTCGGCATCGAAAATATCGGACTGAGGGGGATTAAATGATTTAGTCAATAGCTGTCTGACACTTGGATCTGGGGGAGGATATGCCCCAACTATGTAGACAGTTAATATGTCCAGCAGTTACTCATGATATAATCATACCTCGAGTCTCGAGGGGATCTCGGAGATTGAAGGGCAATGTAAATACGAGAGTAGCCAGTTGGTCGACCATACGAGACTTCCCGTAACCGGAACTCTGGATAATAGATACTGTCGAAGAGTATGACTGAGTGCGAGACATCGCAAGAATGTTGTTGAGAAGGAGTTTGTGATAGTTAAGCTCATAGTTTGTATTCCAGGAGGAGTGAATTGCTAAATGTGCCGAAACAATTCATCAGGCGAATGAACTAAACAACCTCCTAGTCGTTTCTGACCTTCCTCTAAAGTTCAAAAGGGATTAGGGTCAAGGCATCTACAACTTGAAATTGGAGACATACGGATGATCTCGGTGTCAACGTGCGACGCCCAGGGCGGTAGTTCATCACCCGTCTGAGAGGACTCCCCAGGTTCTGCGAGCCGCAGCTTCACATCCGCTGTATCACCGATTAATGACAATCAGTGCCTCGAACGCTGGTTGACACTCACCATATCTGATCAAGGGATCCCATTTGCTCTGTCTGAGAGCGTCTGTAATCAGATCCTTACATTTTCTGCGCTCAACATCGCCGAAGTTTTCCACGATCGATGCCCGCTCGCTTCGTGAAACAACATTTACACCCGCCTCCTTCAGACCCTGAGAAAGAGTAGACAGAACGCTACGAATGAGTTTACTCCACGCCTCATGGTCTGCCTTGCCCTCAGCATCCTCTAGGTGAGGCACCCATGATGAGTGAGAGTCCTCGCTAGACTGAAAGACCGTTTCTATCTGATCGTCACGTAGTATGGGGCGTCTTTTACCCAATGATGTGGAAGAATATTGCACACCTTCCATCTCCTCGTCTTGAGGCATGGTTGCACCAAGTGGTCATGTGGTCATCCAAAAATGGTAACTGTACTGTAGTCGTATTAATTGTCCTCCAAAAACAATTCAATTCACTGGCTAGACGAGAATTCCCGGCGCGAGGTACGATTCAGAATGATATCCACTTGCCGATGGCATCTACTATAGCGTGGAATCTGGGCGTGGGGGGATTTCCAGGAGCCCAGGTTTTGGAATGGATAGTCTTCAGTTCGACAGCTCCCCTCCACCCTAGAGTCTGGGTTTCCTCATATTCATAACGGAAGAATGACATGCTGGCTTGATTTGAGTCACTTACGTTACTTTGCTTGCAAAGTCTCTTTCGCATACATAATTCGTGGGAACTTTTACTTTCCCACATGTTGATATTACGTGTGCTCTCTGTCACTTGTGTGCAACGTTGAGCTGAAAGCAGCAGCGTCGCTGCTCCCTGGTGGCCAAATGCCTCTATGCAGATATCTGACTGGTCATGACACCCCTGAATACCCAGCAGGAAAGAAAGTTATAGCGGAGGATAACAAATACTCGGGGTGCAAGCACTGCAGTGATAGGCATTGATAGGCATGAGTCCTCATTGCCGTACAATGTAAACACATTCAGTAGAGCCTTAGCAGTGGCAATGCAGACATGTACTAATTCCATCTTTCGGGGAAGTCATTGCGACCGTCGGTGAAAATTTCCTGGGCGCCGTCGGAACAATTATTTAAGTTTTTGAAAATTGGT